TTTTAAAAAAAAATATTGTAATAAAAGTAATACAAATATGTTTATTTGAATATAATACGAGCTTATTACTTAATTTTTTTAAAAAAATATTGTAATAAAAGTAATACAAATATGTTTATTTGAATATACTGAGTGTCACTAATCAAATCAATAACATCCAACATATGATATATGATTAAATTATATGAATCGTCATTTTATTCGTATATATAAGAAAATATTTGTATATATATATATATATATTTATATTTTTTTTTTCATAAAGATGAGATATTTGAGATTCATAATAAAAATGGTAATTTTCCATCTAATTTTTTTAATATAACGCGATATTTTATTATTATTATTATTATTATTATTATTATTATTATTATTTATTTATTTATTTGTCACTCATATGATAAATAAGTATTTGTTACTCACCACACAGACAAGGCGGCCACGGCAACTTCAGCGTCCTTCAAATACCCAGCGAAGAGGACCAAAGCCATAAAATACCACACCTCCAGCCTGTAAAATTTTAATACCCAAAGAATTAATAAAAAAAATTGTTTTTATTTAAATAAAATGCAGTGACACCTGTAATTTAATTAAATAAAAAAGATATTTTACCACATCATGACAGCGGATGCTAGAGATAGTCTAACAAACCCCCACAAGTTCTGACACGCCCTGAGCGTGAACCCAGGCCACGCCTTGCCGCAGGTCCCGCTGAACACGTAGACCAGCTGCGCCACCACTATGAGCCACCACGACGCGTCCAGCACTGCCGCGCCTCCGGCCATCCCCCACCCGGCCTTGAGCATCAGCAGCCAGCTGAGAAGCACGTGCAGCGCCAGGGCCACCGCGGAGATCCAGGCCATGGCCATGATCTTGCTCTGCGCCTGAAGGAACTTGGCCGTCGGGAAATTGATGGAGTAGGCGAAGAGCTGCGGGATCATCCAGAGAGCAAGTTTTCCGGCGACTCGGGAGATGCTCTCGGTCTGGCCGATGAGCAGCAAGAAAGGGGAGGCGAAAATGTAGAAAAACATTAAGAGGAAAGCCGTGACCAAAAGGATTATCCACGACCTCTGCAGATACACGCCCAGCATGTCCTCGTGTCCCGCGCCGAAGGCCTGTCCGCATAGAGTCTCTACAGCGCTCCCCATTCCCAGCTGTAACCCAAAAGATGGTCAAAAAAGCTACACTAATGAATGTTTTTTTTTTCTGATAGATCTAAACGAGTCCACTGATGCGACATTGAATTTGTTGGATAATAATCAATCAAGTTCATGAGTACTAATTAATATAGTTGAAGCGAAATTGATGTTTGCGCAGAGTAAAATTATTAGGGAGACGCCAAAAATGAATCGAAATCGGAAGGAGAAGATTAATTTAATTCATTAGTTAGTACCATGAATCCGAGGGAGACGCCGGCGATGGCAGAATTCTCGATGGAGAAGGCGGCGAGCTCGAGGGTGCCAACGTGGCCGGCGAAGGTCTGGGTGAAGGCCCCGAGAGAGTACTGGCAGAGGGAGGTGAAGATGGCGGGGCCGGCGAGGTACCAGAGCTTGCCGGACTCGTTCTTGAACGCCGACAGAAAGCCGCCAAGAGTCTGGATTGGTGGGATGTCGTCGTCGTCCGCCACAAAGGACGAGAAAAACGAGAGGTTGGAGAGTCTCGGGAAAGAGTAGCCCGGGATGGAGAGTAGATCGGTGACTTCATCTTCTCCTTCTTCTTCCTCCGCCACCACGAGGAGCGGCTGTTTGGAGTTGCTGTCCTCCATTGCTGCAAATTGGTTATCTATTTTGTTGAGAAATGAATGAGGCTGGGAATGGTGTATTTATGGAGGGATTGAGGAGCTGGACGGTGTGCCCACGACACACCACACATTACTTATTATACTCTCTGGTTTGTGATAATTGTTTTGGGTGGGTCCGCGTCACATTCACTTTCATACTTCTTTTTAATATTTACACTACAACCACGCTCATAAAAATATTGTGGACCAACCAACCAAAAATTGTTATGGTGTGAATCAATATGGTATGCGACTTGTTTGTTCTCATAGGAATTAAATATTATTCTTATGATGTCAGTGAAATATAATAAGTGAATAATTTCTTATAATATGAATGAAATTTTGCTAATGGATAGCATTGTGAGTGGATAAATCAAAGTCTAATATTATCAATGTTGATAAAACACATAGTGTAGCTTTAGGTAAACCGGCTGCAGTCGGCTCGAGTTAACCGATCCCAGAGTAGCTCGGGTATAGATTGCTCGGACACTAAGGCATTAGTGTTCTGGTATTTTGGACAACATAGTATGTGTTTCGGTATATTGTCAAAGCTAGGTTTTCAGTTTCTGACAATACCATTTTCAATGAGAAATTTGTTTTGGTCTAGTATTTATATTTGTAGTTTATTTATTTATGCGAGCATAAGTTTTCTTTCTTTACATTGAAATAGTATGGCCAATGTGTCGAACATAAAAATCATATATCAGTTCGTTGTAAAATATAAATAATGAATTCACATCTAGACGGAATTGAACAACCTGTTGGTAAAAGACTGTAGTGTAATTTTGATTCAGTTGATCTTTGCTTAATAAATTACACTAGTACTTCGTAAGTATTGAATTCACCACATAGGAAAATATTATTTGAATGCTGGCCAAGTTAATAATCTATATCTCAGTAATTGATGCGATCTTTTAAGCCGTAAGATAATAAACAGACATATGTACTCATCACTTATTAATTTGGTTTACCAAATGTGATTCTTATTTTAGTTAAGATGCATACTAGGTATTTTGGTAAATAATGGTGTTAATACGATGTGCTGCTAAAATTATTTACAGTCACTATGTCCTAGTCCGCTAAGTTGATGACGTCCCTGAAATAAGCTATGGAAGAATTTATTATGTTAATCCCTGCATGCAGATTTATTATCTAATATAATAATTAAGAACTGTGTGGTACTAATTTCGGATCGACAAGATAAAAGAAATTGATTAATTATATTGTTAGTAATTAAATTAATCAATGGATATTATATCTTAAACATAGAGAGATAAATCGATCAATAAAAATTATATATATTAGTTAATTATGAAGGGAGAGAATTTATTTTTAAATTGGAGATAAATGAGGAGACAATAATATTACTCTAGTATAATATTTTATTATTTATTCAAATAGGAGAAAGAATTAAATTATCTTCTATAATTTTCCTAAGCAAGAAGGTCTTATACCTTCTAGAATATTACCAAGGTTAAGAAAACATGGAGTCTTCGAGAAGGGTAATTGAGTTGGAAGGGTTGGGATTTCTAGAAGGAAAATGAGTTGAAAGATATAAGGTTTCCTAATCTTATTTGAAAAACTCATATTTAGCACATCTTTAGGGTCCCTAATGTTGCCTATAAATACACCAAGCCCCAATACCTCTTTAGACACGTGTGAGCCATCCGATTTGGAGTCTTGAAAAAGAGAGAGAAATCGAGTTTTACATATATTGAGGTTTCGGCAGATTCGTTCAGCCACACCACCAAGACAATTCGAAGTACGAGTATAAGGTCATACTTTAAAGATCATAAGGTATAATTATTCTCATACCAGCGAATAAATTATCACCGAAAAAATTCTCGTCAACTGTTAAATCACTGGAAATCGGCGCAGCTAGCAGCCCACAGCCAGCCGCATCGATCCATGACGACACCCGGTTCAGTCGCAACGCCCAACCAGCCTCCCGTGACCTGACCTTGCATACGCCCTAAGACGTCCGCAGAAAACCACGGCCATCGCACAACGCCCAACGTCTCCCGCGCATCGCGACGCTACATCACCTTGGCGAAGCACACGACCCGTGAAGTTTTTGATCCTCGACGCATTGACCCGCGAAAGCCTCGCCCAACGCTCGACGCCTGCGAGACCCGCAGCGCCCGATGTGCATGCCTAGAGAGATCGCACCCGATGCACACGGCCTGTAGGTAGCGCCCGACACGCGACGCAGTCCTCCGCAACCTCAGCAACTCCCTACCGAATCCCCGATGCCCGCGATGAATCGAGAAGGCCAAGTCCGACTGGCTGACAGACTCTGCGGTTCACATGATCTCCTACAGAGGAAATCTACAACGTCTCAGAGTTGGCAAAAACTGTAAACAGTAAGTCCTAATTGGATGTGTTAAGATTTAATTCGTTAGATTTGGATGTGCATATTGATGATGTTCTTCATAGAACCTAACAACTGATATTAGATCTCAAACATAATTCATCTTTGTGCACAATTCGAGTTGGGACTTCGTGTATACGTGATTTATTTGTGTACGGACGCAATGCATAGTAGATTAGAATTGCAAATAAGTTGTTTGCAGGTTTTCTAAAATCCGATCATTGTCGATACAATGTATGTCTTTTAATTCATATATGTTTTATAAGTCTCAGACAAGTCGAGGATTATTTGGGTTGTTGAATGATTATTTGTGCGGTGGGACACCGCATAGTTTAGTTGTTTTACTAGATCATTCATGTACGAATCATGCGTGAAACATAGGTTGAGTAATGTAATTGTTTATATTATTCAAATTGAACCGGTGGATGTGAACAAACCTGACGAGATGAGGCCAGCCAACCGCAAACCCGCGATCGACAGTACGTTGTGCTGTGCACACGCAGAAACATTCGTAGGCAGCTTGCTGCAGAGAGGGATCTAGCCGATGCATGCGCAACAACACGTGCGAGGCCATGTTGATGGTTACGGACAGACCGTGATAGCAGCGAGCGGACGTGGGGATCTCGGCGTCGCTTTCTTGCGTATCGCGACGCGACTACGAGCAGACCCAGCGACACGCGATGCTACTTGGTGACGACCCGTTGGCGCATATTTTTTCCCAGCGACGACTTATTCAGTGAACGTGACAATCCGATTCGAGTAGCTTGTTCAAGAAAAATAAAATGGGAGTCATGTCGAAAAATGAATTCTAAGTCCAAAAGAAAAGATGCAGTTCTACAGGGACAATGATTGCTAATTTCCAAGATGGGTTAGAAAATAAAAATTAGCCATGATAGTTGAATTTTAATTTTCTAGTTAATTATTGCCTTTAATTATGTACGTCCTTGATTGATTTAATTGTTTTATATGTAAGAAGATAATACGCTTACCAAAAAAAATTATATATTAAGTGTTTAATGGAATAAAATAAATTTAAGATTTCACCACCTCCATTACTGGTTTGTCAGTGAAGTGGTTTAAACTGCGCGTTGGCATCATGGCCTTCCTCCCTACGGGTAAATTTTTATCATAATTCATACGGACATACTTCTTTTGTAATGGTAATAGAAAGTTATTTAAAAAACATATGGACCTCCCTACGAAAGAAGTATATTTTTGGTAGTAGACTTAGTATTAAGTAATGGGTCACACTTAAAGTACATTTAATAGAGGTCTCCCTACGGAACGACCACTGTCATATTGTGCGGGCCAAAAGTGGACCGACTATTAATTGATACAAAACAAATAATTGAATGATTTTTATGCCGTGAGAAACATAAGAGGCAATACTAAAAATCATTTTTAGACTTCCAAAACTTTTGACTTAAGGACGAAGGCCAAAAACAGCAAGGAACGAACAACTTTGCACGATTATGCTTAATAACAAAACTGATTGCGTGAAGGTCAAAACATCAGCCATAACTTTCAGTATAAAAACAATAATAACCTAATTCTTGCTCGAGATGAAACATATAGATTGATATTTAAATTATTAGAAGAGTTCAAAAAAATTTCGACCGAGGTTTGGAGGTAAAAAATAGCGATGAAGCAGCATGCGGCAGAAAGGTTTCAAGGTTTAAATACAACCATATGGTTTTTGGAAAAAAATTCTACGATGCAAGGCAATAAAAGGGCTTCGACAAAGATAGATGAATATCAGTACCACGAGGGTTCGAGAATTAATCCAAGGATCAAAATCACATGACTTCAACAAAAAAACTACATTTTAGAGAGTTTCAATTTCCATGCAATTTCACCCGAATACTTGAGAAAACAACAGGATCCCAAAAACGCAATTCAAATATGAATTTAATAAATCGAGATCTAACTTGAATACTCACAAATAAGACCAAACAAGCGGGATCAAGCTAAAGTACTTAGCTTTAAGGAATCTACAAGAAAAGGGATGGTTAGATCGAAGCACGTGCCTCAGATGGCGTAGCTCGGCCTCGACGATGGGTGTGCGAATGGAAAGAGGTGAGGGCTGAGGGTTCTCCTGGTCGAAGGCTCTTCATTCACGTTGCTCGAGGATGAAAACGTGGAGATCAATCTGCTTGTCACGGGTAAGATGGCGCTCGGGTGGCATAGCTCGAGCGGTGATGCTCGCGGTGTGTCGCACCGGTGGGTGGAGAGCTGTGAGAGGTGGTGATTGAGGGGGTGATTGGAATGATTTTTGGTGATTTCTCTTCAGCAATGAGAGTTAAAAAAATGGTTTTCTTGCTCTGAAAGTGTTGATGCAAAACAAGTGAAATGGTAAGGGAAAAGGAAGGAAATCACCTTAAATGTGATGGAGGAAATCAATTGGGATTAAGATAGTATCATGACAAAAATATAAGAGCATAATTGCTCTCTTGAAAGGTGGTATACGGCCATAAGGTAGAGGTGGAGGATTTCTTTCCATATTTCCTCACTTGAAATATGAAATTTGGACTATGAATAAATTTTGCTCCACACTTAAAAAAATTGGCACAAAATAGCCGGTTTTTCAACTAATGGAAGGGCCGGATTTTTGGGT